GCCCGCCGTGTCCCCGTGGGCAGGGCCCCCCGGGCAGGGCCCTGCAGGGAACATTTTGCGCTTTCCTTTTTTTAATCTTGCTATTTTCTTACAGAAGCCCCTCCCCTGGCATGACGGTCCTAGAGGTGTTTATTAACGGATCAGAGAGTATAGGTTTATAAATTCTTATAGAGTAGTGGAAATATTTTTATCCCTCCACAACCGTTCTCAATAAATACGGCTGACCTGGCTTGTCTGCAACCCCTTGTGGCTTCCACCAAATGGGGGCATCCCGTGGCCCAGGGAATTCTCCATCCCTGGGCATCCCCCATCTCTGGGCATTTCCTGGCCCTGAGCATCCCATGTTCTGAGGCTGGTGGGGGCCCACCCTGTGGCCTCTTGTTCCCAATTCCTGTTCCCTTGCAAAAGGCTCAAAATGGATGCTGGGGGTGTTTGTGCTGCACTGACAGGGACACCCAGCTTGGGGTGTGGTGGGAGAGCCCCTTGTGATCCAGCTCTGCGATGAGGGGGCACAAGGAGGGGTCTCCCCCTCTCATGTGCCTTGGGGTGCTGCTGGTGTGGGGCTGGGATGGGAGTGGGGAGGGCAGAGCCTGAGCAGGGATGGAATTGCCTTCCACATGCTGCCTCTGGGCCCCCTTGTGTCCCCCCACCAGTGGGGGAGCCCTGCCAGGAGACACCACCAGTACCTGTGCCCAGTCACCCCAGTTTGGGTCCCCTAGGACCTGCTGGGGTGGAGGAGCAGGAGGAGCAGAGCAAAGGCATGGATGGGCTGCATCTCCAGCTGCCACCCAGAGGGCATCATCCACCTGCACCCCACTATCCCACCCTGCACCCAAATATCCTGCTTCTGCCCCTGAATCCCCTCCCCTCAGAGCCCTTGGGCTGATCCAGCCCAGCTGAGTGCAGGGTCAAGGAGCTGGGACAGGGCCATGCCCAGGGCCACACAGATTGGGGAGGGAGGGATGGATTGGTGGATGGATGGATGGATGGATGGATGGATGGATGGATGGATGGATGGATGGGAGGGGATGCTCCCCCTCTGCTCTGCTCTCCTGAGACCCCTCTGGAGCTGCCTGCAGCTCATCCCAGCACAGACATGGAGCTGGTAGAGCAGGCCCAGAGGAGGCCACCAAAATGGTCTGAGGTATCCATGGTCTCTGCTGTGGAGGAAAGCTGCCCCATGGGACCTGCCAGCCCCAGCCCTTGCTCTGCTGCCAGCCACTTCTCCCCTTGCTGAGGGTCAGAGCAGGGACCCCACCTCCCTGGGCTCCTTCCCTCCTTCACCAGCACTGCCTCAGCCCCACCTTGCTTGCCCCAGAGTGCTGAGCCCCGCTGTGGCTGTGATGCCAATTCCTGCTCTTCACCAGGCCAACCCCCCCATTCCCCCCCATGAACCCTCTTATCAACATGGAAATGGAAAATGTTTGTGCTTCCTTGGCTGGAAGCAGCACTCACCCCAAAGGCTGGGAGACGCAAACCTCCCACATCCCACCATTGCAGCTCCAGGAAGGATCCCCTGGCTGCCTCTTCCTCCCCAGAACAGCCAACAGAGCCTCTGCTTTTGATCCCAGCCTGGCTGATCTATCTGGTTCCTGTTTTCCCAGAGGATAAAACCCAGCACTGATGTTCCAGTGACATCCCCAGCTGTGCCCACCCTTCCCTGCACTCCATTCCATGTGATTTTCATCACACCTTTAAAAATAAAAAGCCCCAAACCCACTCAAACCCAACCTTCCCAAGGCAGAGATTGATATTTCCACATGGCAAATGCTTCCATGCAATTCCCCAATGTCCTATTTTTGGTTTCTCACCAGTCCTGGCACTGGTTGCGGCATCCGTGCTGGAGCTCCAGCTGAGCTCAGAGGAAGGGAATAAAGGTTTCTTAGGGCAGAGAAGGAAATCTCCCATCTCCTTCGCTGGGCTGTACCACCCATGCCTGACACCTAATGAGACCTCAGTCTCATTAGTCAGGTGACATCAGTCCTGTTGTTTCCCTTTCCCCTTCCTTTCTATTTCCCTTTCCCCCCTACCTTCCCTACTTATTCATTTGTTCCTTACATAATTAATTATATTTTTCCCCATGGGAGAGCCCTTGCAGCCCCACCTTTTCCCATCTTTTCAAATCCAGAAACCAAGGCACTGCCTCCAGCTCTTTCCCCCCTCTCTAGTACCTCTTCTCCACCTGTCACATCCATTCCTGGTGGCACCTCTCCTGGATCCAGGGGAGTCAGGAGCAGTCATTCTGATTACATTGGGCTCTGTCTCTCCTGGATCCAGGGGAGTCAGGAGCAGTCAATTCCAATTGCTCCCATTCCTGTCTCTCTCAGATCCAGGGGAGCCAGGAGCAATCATTCTGGTTGCTCCCATTCCCATCTCTCCTGGATCCAGGGGAGCCAGGAGCAGTGAATTCCACTTGCACTGGGCTCTGTCCCTGCCAGATCCAGGTGAACCCAGAGCAGAGCCAGGAGCAGTCCTTCTGATTGCCCCCATTCCCATCTCTCCCATTCCCAGGGCAGCCAGGAGCAGTCACCCCGATTGCTCCCATTCCTGTCTCTCCCAGATCCAGGGCTGCCAGGAGCAGTCACCCCAATTGCTCCCATTCCCATCTCTCCTGGATCCAGGGGAGCCAGGAGCAGTCACCCCAATTGCTCCCATTCCCATCTCTCCCATTCCCAGGGCAGCCAGGAGCAGTCACCCTGATTGTTCCCATCTCTCCCAGATCCAGGGGAGCCAGGAGCAGTCAATTGCATTTGCTCCCATTCCTCTTTCCTGGATCCATGGTAGCCAGGAGCAGTCATTCTGATTACCCCCATTCCCAGGGGAGCCAGGAGCAGTCACCCCAATTGCTCCATTCCCATCTCTCCCATTCCCAGGGCAGCCAGGAGCAGTCACCCTGATTGCTCCCATTCCATCTGTGTGCCCAGGAGCTGCTGGCTGGGGGTGAGAGCCCTTCCCTCCTCTGGCAGCTGTGACAAGGGATTGGGATGCGGTGTCTGAACACATCCAGTGGATGCTCCTGATGGAGCAGGTAGTCCTTGCATCCCCTGCTCAGGGCAGGAGCAGCTCAGAGAGGTGAAACCCCATTGCTGCTGCTCTGCCCCTCCTGTAAAGGCAGCTAAAGCAGCCCTGAATGGGACACAGGCTGGAGACCCCAGCCAGCTCCAGCTCTTCCATACCTTTTCCCACTTCCCTGTTCCCCACAGCCGGTGTGGAAAGACCAGACCAAGAGCTTGGCACATTTCTCAGGCTGGGAGAGCTGGGGGTGCTCACCTGGAGAGGAGAAGCTCTCCAGGGGAGCTCAGAGCCCTTCCAGGGACCTGAAGGGGCTCCAGGAGAGCTGGAGAGGGACTGGGGACAAGGGATGGAGGGACAGGACACAGGGAATGGCTCTCACTGCCAGAGGGCAGGGATGGATGGGATATTGGGTAGAAACTCTTCCCTGTGAGGGTGGTGAGGCTGTGGTGGGCACACGAGAACACGACAAGAACAGATGGATATGCAATCACAGCCTGGTCTTTACTTGCAGAAGAGCCCACCTGTGGCTGTGGATTCTGGGAAGCTCCATGAGATGCCTTTACTGACACGTGATGTTATTTCTGGAGCTTCCCTGAAAAACCCCAGGTTGTGCTGTGTTTTGTGAAGATAGTGCCCATTCCACGAGACCCACCAGGAGTAGTGCTGAGAGGCTGGGGAGCAGCAGCCGCTCCTCCCTTGCTGGGGATGTCATTGATGATGCCAGCACCAAGCACAGAGCAGAACAGGCAGGGAAAGGCTGCTCTGACACTGACATTCCTGTGTGGAAGGGAACAAGGTACCCCTGTCCTGGCTGTCTGTCCAGGAGCACAGGCAGATCCCCTCGGTTGTGGCTGTTCCTGGACAAACAGCACCATCTATTTGCAGCACAAGAGCAGAGGGGGCACAGTGGGTGCCCCTCAGCAGGGCTGGGGATCCCACCCTGGAGCAGCAGCCTCTGCTGTCCTGGGTCACACTAGCACATTCCTGACCCCCAGACCCTCCTGCAGCCCTGGTGACACCTGGGGCTTGCTCCAGGCTCAGGACAGGAGTTCAGGACACGAGTGCAGGAGCAGGGAGGGGAGAGGATCCAGGCTGGGGGCTCAGCTCAGCTTTGGGCCCCTCCTTCCTGGGGAGGCTCTGCCCTTCCACTCCCATGCATGGACATGGGGACTCCCACCCTGGGACCCCACAGGACTCAGCCATTCCCCTCATTTCCCCATCACTGGCTCAGACAGCTCCATCCCCTGAGGCATTAGAGGTCCCAGGAAGGTGTTGGCCCCACAGCACCAAGGGGGAGAAAGCCAGGCCAGCACCAGCTTTGCTCCAGGGGTCCAGGGGCTGAACCTGTCCCTAAGCCAGCCCATGTCCACCTCCAAACCCAGCTGAGAGCCCCTCAGGATGGACCCCAACATGTTGTGAGTGACAGAAGTGACCTAGGACCTGTTCCAGCCTTACCATGGAACTGGGAGGAATGAAGAATATCTGATTTATTAAACCTGCTGGGAAAAGCATTCTGAGAAAACTCAGCTCAAGGTGCTCCTGCTGGGAAAAGGGTACAAGGGGTGGCCTGAGGCCTTCAGAGCTCACATGGAGAAACCACTACTTCTTCTTGCGACGCCGGGTGTTCATGCGGATCAGCTGCTGCCCCTGCTTCTTGATATCCTCCCGGCTGGGGACGTAGTCCTCTTCCTCCTCCTCAAAATCCAAACTGTCTGCAGGGGAGAGTGGAGAGGAGGGACTGGGGAGGGGCTGGAGGCCACCTCAGCTGTGGCCATGTCCCTGGGACAGCTGGCACGTTTTGTTGGGCTCGTGGGATCCAGGAGAGTCCTCATGGACCTTTCCACCCCAGCATCCCAGGGTGACCTGGGGGACCTGTGATGCCACCACTGTGGCCCATCTCCATTACACTGCTGGGGCTTCCCATAAAGGTCTAGGGCTGCAGTGTGGTGGGCACAGCTCCTGCTTTGCTAAAGAAAGGCGCTGAGCTGCCAAAAGGTCTTTGCATCTTCCAGGAGCATCCACAGGCAGAACCAAGCACTGATTATTCTTTACAACCAGGTGATTTTGGAGATGAGGGTGTTCCCTCTTGCCCCACATCTCTCCTTGTTTCTGCAGGAGCTGGTGCTCATCATGCCACCCCCCGCCTTCATTCTCCCCCACCCCTGCCTAAAAACACCACCCACGTCTGAGGCCTTGGAAACGACCAAGGTCAGCCTCAAGACCTGGAGGCAATTTGTGGGTTGGTGTCTGCTGGGCCAGTGGGACACAGACAAGGACTCCCCCCATTCCAGGGGGCAGGGCTGGAAGAGTCACTGGAGGACACATCCCCACTGTGCTCTCCTACCATGCTCCGTAGCGCCCTCATCCTCAAAGGTAATCCTCAGGTTCTGTTTTTCACCTGCAGTTCTTTCCTCCAGAAGGTTCCTGACCTTGGCAAAAGTCTGTGAAAGACAGCCTGGGATGAGTGCTGGAGGGCAGGTGGGTGCTACAAGCCAAGCACCATGGGTGCCCAGTGCCGTCGGGGCTGAGCTGCACCATGGCCCTTCCCTGTGGCCTTGCTGAGAAGGATGGCTTGGGTGGCCTTGGTCTGGGAGGACCCTGAGTGTGTCCCCAGGGCCACCAAGCCCCCGTACCTCGCTCTGTTCATCAGGGCTGTCCTCAGGCCGGGCTGCTGCCTGCTCCTTCAGGAACTGCAGCTTCTGCTCACAGTGCTGCAGCTTCTCCTCCATCCCGTGCACCTCACCTGAGTCCTCCTGGGGGGACACAGCCACCTCGGTGGGGACAGCCAGGCCCTGGTGGCAGCAGTGGCTGTGCCAGGCGTCCCTGTGCTGCCCTGCCTGCATGGCCCTGCTCCCCTGGTGCCCCGTGGTACCTTGCCAGGGATGGAGATGCCCTGCAGGCGGAGGAACATGTTGTCAATGATGTTCTCAAACTCGATCAGGCGCTTCTGGTTGTTCAGCATGTGGGCTCTCATCTGCTCCAGCCGGGCCTCCTCCTGCCTCAGCTTCTCCCTCAGCTCCTCCTCCTGCATGCTGGAGCCAGCCACACTCACATCACACAGGTGCACAGGGGTGCAGGGACACCCCAAACCTGCTCCAAAAGCTGTTCAGGCTGCCCCACCCCAACTGCAGGCCAGCTCCATGCTGCTGGCAGCACTTGCCATGCCCAGCAAGGAGAAAGGGAGCTCAGGGACCCCAGTGGGAGCTTTGGGTGCTCTGCCCTGCCAGCAGCAGAGCTGGGAGCTCAGAAACCCTCCCAGTGCTGGAGGAGTGCGTGGCTGCAGTGGGGTGCAGGTCAGAGTGCCTCTTGGGACATGTCCCCCCCTAAGGTGGTGGCCTGGCTGGCACAAGTGTGCGAGGCCAGCAGCACCTGGCGGTGCTGACGGGTTGGTTGAACTTCAGTTTGGCCTGCTTGGACTCCAGGTTCTGCAGGGTCTTCTTCAGCACGTTCTTCTTCTCATTGCACTCATCGATGTGCTGCTGCAGGTTCTCCAGGGATTTCCTCTGTGCCTCGATGCTGCTGGGGATGTCCTGGCCAGGGGAGACACAAGGGCTCAGCCCAAGGTGCTCCTGCTGGAGGCCTCGGGAGGGTTACAG